GTGCAGCGCGTGCCTCCTCGGCAGTCAACTGAAATGCCCGACTCGTCACCACTAGAGCCTCTGCCTTGCCCTGCCGGCCATCTGTAATCCGCAGGGTCGCTGGAGCTGGCGCCTTCACTGGCGCTGCTGCTGCTGTCAACTGGGGGCAATTGGCCTTCTTGTGGCCCCTCTGGTTGCAGTGGAAACACAGCAACTCTGATGTCTGAAAAGTGGGTGCAGGGGCGGTACAATCCCTGCTGAAATGCCCTGTCTTGCCGCATTTGTAGCAGCCCGACGATCCCATCCTACATGCTCCCTCGTGCGGCCTGCCGCATTTCCTGCAGCGGCCCTGTCCTGACTGGCCTTTCGGCCTACCATCTGATCCCTTGGGCTTCTTCCCCGAAGCCCCAGTCACCTGCCCCTCCTCTACCTTCCTCTTCCGGATGTGCTCCAGATCAATCTCCCTCTCCCTTGCCCTGGCAATCATGGAATCCAGGGTAGGGCAAGCTGAAAAACTAACATGCTCCCGAATGTCAGATCGCAGCATGTCATGGTAGCGGGTCCTCCTCATGTCCTCATCTCCCGCATACTGGGGCACTAGCAACGCCCTCTCCCGGAACTTGGCGGTGATCTCCGCCACAGTCTCAGTAGTCTGTCTCATATCTAAGAACTCCCTCGCCAACTGCTGGAGCTCCACTGCTGGTGCAAACTCCGCTCTGAACCGAGTCACAAAGTCCGACCATGTCATAGCCTCAACCGCCGAGGCTCCCAGAGAGTCACCAACCGACTCCCACCAATCTCTGGCCCGGTCCCTCAGACATCCTGCTGCAAATCGTACCTTCGACCCCTCAGGGCAGAAGCTAGTCAACTGTGCAGACTCAATGTCTGCAATCCATCGTCTGGCAGCAATGGGGTCCTTCGCCCCATGGAAATCTGGCGCACCACTGCCCCTGAAGTCCTTAAAGGACAGCGTGCGAGATCCTGACTGGCCAGATGCCATGTCACTCCTGAACGCCCTGAGGCGGTCCTCCATCAGCTCAACTATCCCTTCCTTGATCGACCCGAAAATGATGGGGGTCGACTCAAGGATGCCTCTGGTGATCTCTGACGCGATGAACTCGCGTAGCCTCTCATCTACTGGCTCGGAACCTGATCCCGAACCCGATCCCTCTCCTGAACTGCCAACTGCTGGCCTCGGACGTAGTACCACCATTCTGCAATACATACAGGCAACCATTAGTGATACTGATACCTCTAAAGGGATCACATCTACTACAAGTTCCCTGGTCTTGCCTTAGCCTTCCTCGATTCAAGTACGGATCCTCTGCTTTCAGTAGTACGGGCCCATACTACCTTCCACATCTATCCGTACTTTCCTCAAGAATCGCCTCGACTCCACCAAGTCCCTTCTACTACTACTACTGCTGATCTCATGCTAATCTCATCCTAGGCTTGCCCTAGGTAATCACCAACCCACTCTCCGCCATCAGCTGCATAAGAAGTCCCTGCTTTCTTCCCCTAACTAGCTCGCGAATACTATTACATATTACTCAGACTAGATAATTCTTCGAATGAGAGGTCCTACCCTACAACGGTTGGACTCAAACAAGAGCTGCGAAATAGAGCTAGACCCAACCTTCTGAAATTATTTAGTCCTTGCAATATGTAACTTAACATATTCGTTTACTAGTTAGTGAAAGACAACTAGAACTTCTAAAAGCACAAAGCAAGCAGCATTCGGGCATTGAGTACACATAATCAAGTATATACTACTCTGGCTATCATACCGACTAATCTGTAATAGCATGCAGTTCTCAATAAGCTGGTACACATATAGCAGGCACATAAGGCATCCTTCCTAGATCCTTAGCCCTAAGCTAGCATGCAGTTCTACTGAAACTGAGACTGGTAATCATATCATAAACTTGTATGGGTACTTTGGGGAATACTTACTTGAGCTCGGCCGGTCGCGCACATCACACACTTCGCTCTTTTCCAAACTCTTTATCTTAACTTTTAGAAAATCATTTTCTTTTGTAAAAATCCCTTTAGTCCCTCGATTTGAGTCCAGACACTCCCGAAGGTGCGTCCGAATCCCTCAAACCAGGGCTCTGATACCAACTTGTAACATCCCAAATTTCACGTCCAAAAATTTCATTTTTAAATCAATACTTTGGAAAACATTTGTGAATAAACATCGTTTGATCATATCATTTCATAAACATATTTCGTGTCTGAAAACCAAAACATAAAAACAACCATAATGTCAGAGTACAAAATCCCAGAATAACTCATGGTGCGGAAAACATTGTGCGTGTATGATGTGCCGCTACCGCGCCAGCTCCTTCCCCTTCGATGAAGAGGTACCTGAAAACAAAACTGTAACTGTAAGCACGAAGCTTAGTGAGTTCCCCCATTGTACCACATACCATACAAACACATAACATACATACTGCAGGACAATTCTGGGGTGCCCGACCTACCCGATACGGCCATTCTGGGGTGCCGACCTACCCGTGTCAAGCCATTCTGGGGTGCTAACCTACCCATGTCAAGCCATTCTGGGGTGCTGACCTACCCATGTCAAGCCATTCTGGGGTGCTGACTTACCCATGTCAAGCCATTCTGGGGTGCTGAGCTACCCGTTGGTCCTAACAACCGAACTTGGGGCTATTCCCCTCCTACTACCACTATCACATATAACATAGCATGCCGACATATAAACATATCATCACATGCTGTCAGACATATCTGGGGTGTCTGACTACCCTTCGGTCCTAACAACCGAACTCTACTACTATCACTTATAACATATCATGCCAGCATATAACATATCAGGTAGTAGCAAAACTAGATGATATCACAAAGACAATCACCTAACATACAACTCCTACTGGTGGGCCGACATTGTGGCCGTAGACCCACCGCTACTGGAAGGTAACTCACCTCGTAGTAGCTGCTGATTTGTGCGGGAAAATCCTCTGACTGCTACTGCTGCTGCTCCGGAAATCCTCCGGCTATAATTCCCACAAAACACTTAGTCATACACTGCCAACTGCTTTTAGGGTAAAATGACCATTTTACCCCTGACCAAGTCAAAGTCAAAGTCAAAGTCAACTTCCAGTTGACCTGACTCGCCGAGTTGGTTCGCCAACTCGCCGAGTCCCTATCCTTCTATTTGACCTTATACTCGTCTCTACTCGTCGAGTTAGGCGATGACTCGACGAGTTTTCCTTCTAATTGAACATCTACTGAATCTTCATCCGACTCGCCGAGTTGTATGAACAACTCGTCAAGTTCATCTTCAACTGATGAACAGGTCTTGTCCTTGACTCGCCGAGTTGTATGAACAACTCGTCGAGTTCATATTCAATCTTAAGAAGATTGCCTTGGACTCGCCGAGTCTGTTCATGCACTCGCCGAGTCCCATGAATTCCAGAACCATGGCTTAGTCCAGAACGTTGGGTCACTCCCGGGACCTCCCTGAAACCTTTCCACACTCAACTGGGTCCTTGACCCAAACAGAAAAGGGAGTCAAGCCTCGGACTCGCCGAGTCCCAAGAACGACTCGCCGAGTGGAGTATGTCCAAGTCTCATTTTCTCGATTTCTGGTGTACAACACTTGCCCAAAAGGTAGATCTAGGCTCCTAGGACCGTTCTAAGCACGTAAAGTTACGAACTTTACGTGCATGCATGGGACTTTTGAGCCTAAAGGCCCTAAAATGGCTCCTACAATGCATGGGGCCTTCCTTGAGTGCCAAAAGCCACTCCTTTCTGCCTTGTAACCCCTCTAAGGACCTAGATCTGAAACTTCAACCCCTAACCATGCTTGCAATCATGGTTGGTGACCAAAATGGCTTAGAAAAGCCCTAAAATTTCACAAAATGGGATCTATCAAATGGAAGAGCAAGGTACAGACTTTTTACCTTCAATGAGCTGAAAATGGTGCACAAACTCGGATCCCTTTAGCCTCCTCTTGTTCCTTCAAGCTTTTCCTTCCCTCCTTGGATCACAAAAGCACCAAAGTCACTCCAAATGCCTTAGATTGCTTCAATAACGGATAGGGTTTGCTATGGGGGTCTTCTGGGAGCAAATGGGACGAAGGAGGTCGAGTTAAAGTGTTTAAATAGGGTGCAAACCCTCGGATTAGGGTTTTTTTGTCCAGACAGGGTCTACTCGCCGAGTCCGGGACCCGACTCGCCGAGTCCATCGCTTAAGTCTCGCGTCCCCTCTCGCTTCTACTCGGCGAGTTGGTCCTTCAACTCGCCGAGTCCAAGGCCAAAAATGCAAAATATTTAAAGAACTACTAAAAAGAATACGTACCAAGAACCAGGTGCTACATGATCGGTGTCGGAGATAGTGAAGAGGGAGGAGGAGAAGTATGTATCACTGTTTTGTTTGTCCTGTGGAAAAGAAAAAGTTATTTAGGGCTGGTGACTTGGTGGGGGAATTGGGATGAGCCTTTTATTTATTTATTATCGGAGGTGAACTAATTTGTCACGTAGGATGCTATTAACCTAGAAACATGTTAGTTTTGGGGGTCAAACCCCTATTTAACAGGTAAAATTAAACTTTATGGATCTGTTGTTAAAAAAAAAAAAAAAAAAAAAAAAACTTGAATGATTAAATGTGTAAATTAACCAAACTTTGTTGTTCTACAATACCAAAAACCCTTCAAAATCAACCATCTTAATCATGTTTTATTCACTTTGTCCTTATTAACATAGTAATATAGTGCGTTTTAGTTGAGCATTGTATTTCCTTTATTATGATAACTTTGTATATTTTCATTATGACATAATGGATGAAGTAAATAACGGGATCAAGCTCAACTATTCAAAATGCATACATTTTCTTCTTCTTATTTTGGTTAGATTAAATGGTCTATAAACATTGTTTTTTAATGTTTTAAATTTCTGTGAATATATTATTATAATGGTATTATATAATATTTTAATAAAAAAAAAAAGATCCAAGTTAGCCCATTCAAATATACAAAGCCCAGTTTATCGAAAGGCTAACAAAACCCTAGTTTGGACGATCAATCATCAGAGTATACAATTACAACCGCCTCCCCCTTCAACGTGGTAGAAGGATCAGCGTATCTAGCACCTTGTAACAATGGTAATCTCTTTCTTTCTTCACAGTTATCTACTCTATTTCCAAATTCCGCATATATGTGTATGTAATATGTATATGATTGGTTAATCGGAACAACAGGGAAAAGGAACAGGGAGTTTTGGTAAAAGAAGGAACAAAACACACACTCTATGTGTGCGCTGTGGTCGTCGCAGCTTCCATCTCCAAAAGAGCCGATGCTCTGCTTGTGCTTACCCTGCTGCTCGCGTCAGGAAATGTTAGTCAACAATAACTTTCTCTTTATAATTGTTTTTATCAATTGTAGTTGGGATATATGAAGGAACTTGATTATATGATAAATTCAGATAACTGGAGTGTGAAAGCGATTCGTAGGAAGACAACCGGAACTGGACGTATGAGGTATCTCCGTAATGTGCCTCGCCGATTCAAGAGCAACTTCAGAGAAGGTGATTTGTTCTTTTTGTTTATTGGTCGTTTGATCTTGTGGATTGTGTTTTTGAGTATACAATCTTGTTGATTTTGTTATTCAGGTACTCAAGCTGCTCCGAGGAAGATTGGTGCTGCATCATCAGCTTAACTTTCAAATTTAGTTCGTGATCAAGTTTTGTGGAACATCATTAGATGTGCTTAATATATTGACTTTCAGTTGTAATTTTTCAAGTCTGTTTAGAAATTTGTGTTTTTTAATCAATGATTAAATGATACATACACTCGCATTGTTTTTAATCTTACGGTTTTAGTGACAAATTAGTCTATATTAGAACTTCCATGAAAACACACCAAAAGTATATTCTGTTTTTGTAACAAGATCATACTCTAAAAACGAAACAATGTCTGATATGTATTAAATCACATGTAAATTTGTAACAAGATCATACTTTAAATCTTCCAAAAATCCCAACTCAAAACATATTTACAATTGTAATCTATATTGCAAACCCTAACCAACTTTCCACCATTTCTCGAGAAGAAGAAAAAAAATGGGCTCTTTCGTGGGCAATAGAAGAAGCAAAAATGCATCGCCCTTAGAACATCTTTGGAACACAGAATAAAATAACAGGGAAACGCCATCACATCACATCACATGAATAAAATAAGGGGATGATGATATTGCTAGTGTTCAAGATCTCCAAACTTTTGCTTTTCTTCATGCAATTGTTGGAACACAGAATCCAGTTCTGGAAATGCTGACATCAGCAGCAGCTCAATAAGGTCATACGCTAATAGCTTTAAGCAAACAGATGACTGAAAAAAAAACATTAGAAACTTAAGTTTAGCAACAATGGCTACAAATATAAAAATTTATAGAAAGAAAAAAGTTGACCTGAATAAAGTAATAGACATCTTTTGCACACTGCTCATACTCCTTTCGCCCAAAAACACTTACAACCGCTGCTGGCGCCTTATCTATTTACAAATTTTCAAATCATAAAATTATAAATTAATCCGCATCCAATAATAAACTAAATTCATAAAAAAAATTAAAAAAATTAATAATTACCAATCATTAGCTCATAAACTAGTTTAGAACGTCTCTGAGCTTCCTGTTCTTGAACCTCTTCATGTGTCAGTGTTTGTTCATTGTTGGGTGGTGGTGGTGGTGGAGGTTGGCGGTCAGGTGAGTCCTGGGGTGGCTTTACGGTGGCGGGTGGTGGTTGCTGCCGCCTGGGATGCTTTGTTAAAAATATCCCATCCGGCCAAAGTATCTACACACCCCACATAAAATACATTCTATAAATAAAACCTATGAACATTTAATTTCTTGATTCAAAAATTCATTATCATAATAAAAAAATAAATAAATAAAAACCTGTTCAAGCTTCTTGATTCCTGAAGCAACAATGGAGCCCTTACGTAGGAGTTGAACTTTAGCAATTAGCCAATCATCAAAGGCATCTGACATGCCTAGCTGTAGGACCTGTTTTGCCACCCAAAAAGCCTTCCTCCTACCAAATATTTACTTTTTTTTTTTAAATAACAACTTCTATAATTATAATTATAATTAAATAACATATAAAAATGATGTAGATTTGTAATACCTGATCCAACCACCATCTTGAAGCTGGAACACAACATCAACAAGATCTAATATAGGGACACTTAAATTTGGTGGGACCCACTGCACATCACACCGCAACAAACAAAACAAAATAACAAGTTTTATCAAAATGCAAATCATAACAATAAGAATCTGAATTCATAATTAACTAATTACCTCACTAGGGAATTCTGAATCACCATCATCTGTAAGAATCCCAATCCCAGATGCTGGATTTACAATATTGTCCTCCAATCCCTTTAAAAACTGCTCTTCTGACTTCTTTATTATATGACTTGAAACAACAATTTCATGATCACTATCAGAATCCTCTAATGGTTTTCCAATTACCTTTACTACTTCAGGCTTTGCAACCGAAAAACCTGCATTCTTTTTATATATTTTTGACCCATCATTTATAGAATTATTTTTAATTTCTGATGATGAAGAATTCTTCATTACAGTTACAGCATCTGAAACCAAAACTTCTCTCCTTGAAGGATCTCCTACAAACCTAACATCTCTACTCTTTTCACCTGATAGGGTTTGAATGATGGATATAGAATTTGAGAAACTATATGTCTGCACCCAAAAAACATTTATAAAATTACACTTAATACTCTTTAATTATAACAAATGAAACAACCAAATAAACTACAAAAAATGAAACCTGGGAATCAACACTAAGAAAGTCCCAAACTTCAATAGATCCAGATATAGTTGGAAGCTGCATAAGTCTCTGAGAAAAATAGCAACAGATGAGTTATAATTTAGTGGTTAATAACTTAATTATAGTAAATCTTTCAAGAAAAATTTCACCTTTAAATAAATGTCAAGAAGTTTACAGCGTTCTTGAATAACAGGAACATCAAGTCCAGTTGATAGAAAGTGTTTTGGTGGGAGATGAAGGTTATACTCTGGATACTCCTTCAGACGCCTGTGTAACTCCTCAAAGTGTCGAAATCTGTATATAATTTATAATTTTAGGGTTAAATATGTAACAAACTATCTGTAGTTTTTCTCATTAATGTTCTTGCAGCAGATTTAAGAGGTTTTATGCCAACATGGCATTTTTATGTTTGGTGTTCTACTGAAAACAATTGCAACTTAATGAATAATGAATGAAACAATTTTAAGACTCATGAATTTATATAACAAAGAAAAAGCACCTTCTTTTGATAGACCAACTAACATTGTTCACATCTGTAACTGATATGGGATACACAGCAAATGTTTTAGATCCACTCTTGACAATGTTTGCACCCAAAACCTGTAATAATAGCAAACGATCTAATGTCTATCAAATCTTCCATTTCTATCTAGAAAGAACAAAAAGAATAAAAATCATGTTACCTCACATCTTAGTCTGAAAAATGAATCATCCAATTGTGAATGTTTTTGAGCATTAGTGGATGACATGTTACTTTCAGGAATCGAAGGAAATAAAGATGAAACACTGGTCCCACTATTGGTTCTTGCTAATGACTCTTTATCAGATTCATCACTAGATTCAACAGATTTAGAATACCCTTTTGAGGAACTCAAAACATCCTGCATGTCTCCCAATAAGAAGCTTTTTCTTTCCACTTCATGCCAAATTTCCTCTTTTGGATTACTACTTACTCTTGACCTTTTTCTCCCTGGATTTCTTTTTGGTGAAGAACCTTTTCCTGTTTTTTTTGTCTTTTGGCCTTGAAAACTTTCAAGTGGATGATGAATGTGAGTTACAGTTTGCTTCCTGTTACTTTTTCCATCCCATACTTTAGTCCCTGGTGAATTTAATCCTGTTATATCACCACTTTCTTCATCTTCACTAGAATAAACACTACTATTACTCCTTGTTTCATCTTCCTCATCTTCATCTTCCTCATACAGGAATGATTTGTCACCTTTGGTGGACCCATGAATGACTTCTTGTGAAGTCAATGTCTTTGACTGGTTGACCACATTCGCTGACATGGCTGAAGAACTTTGTTGGATGATCATACCATCTTTTGTTTTGTAGTTTCTGCCTTTAGCCCACATGTTTTCAAAATTTTCAGGAGCTAATGCTTCGGTTTTTTTACGTGTAACAATGTCTAATTTGTCCCCCCATTCACCACTAACATGTTGTTTTCGGGTGTCTACTTTGGTATCGATTGAAAGCAAAGGGTCTTTTATGGTGGGATTGTTAGTGGCAGAATCGTAATTATCTTTCTTTAACAATGTGAGTTCAACACCCTTTGCAGAAGGATCTAAAGACACAGATTGAGTGTAAACTTTAACAGATCCATTTGGCTTTGACTGTGAGTTGACTTGTTCTGTGTTATTAGATACTTTTTCAGACTTTTTTGATGAATTTTGAACCACGTTTTCAATCCTTTCATTAATAAACCTAAATCCAATAAAAGAAAGAAATAAAGAACACTACAAGAAACAAGATTAATAAAAAAAAGGTAAAAAATTAACCGAATTTATAAAAACCTGGGATTTGCTAAATTTATAACGGGTCGTATTACTGCACAAGCAAGCATTTCCCTCACTATGTAACGAAATAAAGAACAATTCAGATCCTCAGGTCTGAATGTTAAAGATATGAAACCATCCATAAGATGCTGTAGAACCTACAAGAAATAAAATAAAACTAAAATTATTTTCATAAACACAAATAATACAAAACTAAAATCAAAAGACGAAGTGGAAGAAAACCTTGTACTCAGCTACAGAAGAAAATAAAGCAGGATGCAACTTATTTTCAGCATAAAGCACAGTTTTTAGTTCTTTGTCTCTTTGTGCAATTGTGAGAGGTTCTTGCTTCATAATCTTGATTTGACATGCACGAAAAAGCTCCAAATGGGTGCATAAAAGTTTGATAATGTCCCTATAATGTTACAAAGTATGTAAGTCGATAAATTAAGATCATTTAATTGAAGAAAAGGTGGAATTTTTAGCACTGAAACCTTGTGAGAAGGTCAATGAGGTTGATATTTCTCATTCGGCTAGAGAATTCCCCAAAAACACCATTGATAATGAGCACTAGTTCATCTGGACCTTGTTTGTCAGGGGTAATACGGGAATACCAAAGATCAGTGACCCATTCTGAAACTATGTGTTTTGTGAATTGATCTATTGCGTCTTCAACAACTGGAGAGTTGACTTTTTTTCTCCAGTCTGACTTTCCTGAGATGGATTTAGGGTCTAGGGGTGGTTTTTTGACAGAAAAAACGTGGGGTGTTGATGGGTTTTTGTTATATGATGCAGCTTTTCTCTTCGTGTCATAATCCAATGTGAAGTAACGAAGAACAATAAGTAAGGATAATGCAGCTGGCAAGTTTATTAACACTGAAGCGCTTGTCACTGAAATAAATTTAAAATCAATGTGTGATCAATGATCATGTCATTAATCAGAAAGATACAAAAATTATCTAAGAGCTTCCAATTAAAAGTTTGATCGTGCTTCCCAGTTAGCTATCCTTCATCAGGAAAAATTCAACCACACTGACACCAGGTTGCAATTGAATTAACGAAAGACAAACAAGAAGGGGATAATGATCTAAATTCGCATTCAAACAACTAACAGCCCTAAATGTATCAATCAACAAGTGAAGAATTTTCAATTTTGTAACAAATTGGGTGAAGAGAGAAGGCACAATCGTGAGAAGAATTCTAAAAAAGGGAACTTACAAGACATGAGATATGAGAGTCCAATAACGCACATGGACAGGAAAACAATCCGTTTCTTGGCCTCATCGATAAGGTCTCGAGCAGTCACCATTTGCCTGCCAGTGCTCATTTTTTGAGACTCTGATCAGATCAATCTTCAACGCTATAAATTCATTACATAAATTCAACAAAATCGCGACCCAATCTTGCAATCTGATAACTTTCTCGAAGCAATTGAACAGTAGATACGATCGTCTAACCAGATGAAGATGATCATAAAAGAGACCAAGAACAGTGATTGAATTATAAATCGGAAAAAGGGGAAATAAAAATAAAAAACCCACTTGAAAAATCGAGGTTTTATGCAATCTGATTGACTGAAGAATTGAAAAAGGCAGTGTTTAGGTTTTGGGAGTGTGCCGTTATTCTCCTTTTTCAACTGCGCTTCGACATTGGCTCAACTCCTGTGTTGCGTTTTTATGAGGGTTTGAAAAGTCCGTTTTCAAGAAACAAGGGGGTATGGAAGTGGAATTGATTTCTAATTATTGTGTTGTCATATCACAAGAATAGATTATAATCCGTGATAATTAGGGTTATAAAATTAATTAAATTTTTATATTAAAAAATTAAAATTATTAATCAATTATTTTAAATAAATTATTACTTAAAAGATATTTTTTTAGTTATATAAAATTATAATCGTTGATTTAAATAAATACGTGAATTTATATCACCTTATAATCTTTATTAATTTAATTTATTTTTTTAATCTAATGTTATTAATTTAATATAATTATAATGAAAAAAATTTAAAATTTAAAATGGAGAATCCATTAATAATTTAATGTAATTAAAGTGAAAAATTTGAAATTGATAATTAATAGGTTGACAAGTAACATGATATATAACATACAATATTAATAAAGAGTTCTAATAGTATGACACTTGACAATAAAAGAATAAACCTATTCATTTATTAAAATATGGATAAAGATTTTTTTATTGTTTATTAAATTTAAATAGTTAGTTTTCACTGATTAAATAAATAATTAAATCATAAAGTAATTTTTTTTACATATATGTGGACACTGTAATTTTATTTGTGTATAAGTGTTCGATAAAAAAAGATTTTAACTTTTAAATGTATAAATTACATAAAAACCAAAAGATAAAAGTTTTTAAAAGCTACTTGAAGTAGCTTTTGGATTATGATTTTTTTTTAAAATAAAAACTAAAAATATATAAATTATATAAAACCAAAATGTAAAAGCTTTTAATATCTACTTCAAGTAACTTTTAGATAATAATTTTTTTTTGTTTAAAAAAAAACTAAAATTTTTTGTTTAAAATAAAACTAAAAGCTCATAATTCTGAACAACTTTTTTATTAAAAAAAACACTAAAAACTATCAAAAACTCTATACCGACACTCGTAGTGTTTGTTTCTTAAATAATTAAAATCTACCAAAAAACTGATCATTGTAATTTATATTATTAGAAGTTACTCAAACACTTTCTTCTACAACATGTTTTATTATGAATGATTCTCTAACTTTGATTAATTAATGCTATATAATTATTTGCAAAACTTACATTCAAGCATCCGCAATTTTCAAGTAAATAGGAAGGGACCTTGTGGAAAAAAAAATGCGTGTACACATTTAGAAAACATCCTTGAAAGAAAAAAAAAATAGTACTCACGACAAGAATGCTTTTTTTCTTTTGTCTTATTTTTTATGTGTGTTGCGTGATTCGAGCTAAAATGGGATGATTTTTTTTTATATGATGAGTTTCTTAAATGCATGATCTTATTTTTTATGTTTAACTTGCTTTTCTTTGGGTTATTGTTTTTGTTTTAAAATGAATAGCTTTTTGTAGTATACACACACTTTATTTCTAATAAATATTAAACGTTTTGTAGTCGTCTCAATGTTAAAAGAATATTTTTCGTTAAAAAATCAACCAAAAGATTAACATCTTTTAAACAATAGATAGTTTTAGGACCATAATCAATGTTATCAATATCTTATAAAAATTGTTATAAACATGTATGTGTGTGTTTTGTACAAAAAATTATTTCACCAAAAAAAAAAAAAAGAGTTGTAGACTTGTAGGCCAACAGAAATATATAATGTTATGTTTTTGTGTAACAAAGTAGTTTTTATAGTAATGGATATTATTTGTATGAATGGAAAATTTAGTGTGTGTTTTCAAGTAATTTCCTTAAAGAAAGGAAGTCATTTGGAGCTTGGAAAAAAAACACAAAAGGTAGTAAAAGTTTCGTGTGCTTGAAGTTTTTGGAGGGAAAATTATCGTTGATTTATCTTTAGAACTTTATATTAAAAGAACTAAAGAAAAAAGAGAGGGTTCATAATTTCTTTCAATAACCACTTTACACTTATCTAAACTATATATATATTTTACATGGACAATAAATGAAAATAAAGGGAAAGAAAGTACCATTTTTTCCCTAATCTCACTCTTGAGTTGGATAAAAAAGAGAAAACATATGTTTTAAACCTTTTTTATGTTTTCAAATATGAGACTAAAAGAAAACCAAGGTCAACTCCAACCATACTGCATAAAAGAAAAAAAAAATTATAATTTTCTAACACCAAATTCAGTTTCAATTTTAACCACACTTTGTTAATAAATCTTTTCTGTTCACACTAAAAAACAATTTATAAAAAAAATTATACATGTGTGACTGTCAATATCCGATAATTTCACTAAATCCTCCCTCCCCCATTTCCGGGGTTTTTAGGAATTTTACCTTTTTACCCTTCAAACACTCTACAATCTCATCCTAATCATATTTTAAAGCTCATCTTTCACCACATGCTGCTCATCACGTGCCTCTTCTTTTAGATATTTGTTAATCAATATCGCCAAATCTTTCACACTAGACTTTGTAGGCAGCTTCATCTTCATAAAAAAAACAACCAACTTTAGCCCAAAAGACAAGTTTTTCAACTTCAAGACTAGAACTAGTGTCAATTAAGCAAATGACTTACGGGTTTTGACTTATTTGCCCCTGGGTAAAACAACAGTGTTGGATAATCATCTATTTGCAATTTTGGATGTTCATTTACAGAGGCATCTATCTTTGCAAAAACAAGATTCTCTAATCCCTTAAAGTGTTTTGCCAGTTTCTCCACTTGCTTGCTTGTAGTTTCACAGGTCAAACACCATGGTGTGTGTATCTTGAATATGATCAATGTGGAAACAAATTAATCAACACCCATTTGATATCAGATTTTTGAATACAAAAAAAAAATGTGTCTTTGATGAAATTGTATAAATGAAGAATGATGGTTTTAAACTTTTAATATGTGTAATAAATGGGATACAGACCTCTAGAATGATGTTCTTGGAGCTGCTTAAAACCAATTCTTCAAATGTCTTTCCAACAACTGTAAGAATGTCTGCATCTTTCTGTGATTTCACAATCAAGAATTCAAGATTGACAATTTTAGGCAAAAGAATTCAATTATAATTGTGAAATGCAAACTTATCCTAAATTTAATTTATATTAACAATGAGATAAGAAAAACTCACATTATCTGGTATTGCTTGGGACTTGTAAAACGGAGGCAGAATACCCTTAAAAAGCTCTGAGCAAAACTCCTACAGAAAAAATCATATAATAATAAGAAAAAAAAAATAACAATAATCAACTTTCACATATGCATAGAAGTAACATTAAGAAATCAAAGTAATTTAATTGAATTGCTACTTCTATTTTTGCGGGTGTTGGATCCGACTCTAACAAATACTTGGCACCAGTTTTGTAATCAAAAGCCGTTACCTATCAAACACATTTAAAAAAAAATCATAATATCATTAGCAAAATCTTGAAATAATTTGGAGAAAAAAAATGTTAAATTGGGGTTGAAATTGTTCATAATGAAACTAACAAGAGTGTCTTCTGAATCTTCGAGCCCAAATAAAGTTAAAAACGGTTTTGCAAGATTTTCGTCTTTGATGTCTACAAACACAAACATTATCTGCATCCACAACATGAATTTAATAAACATGATAATAATAATAATATGAGTATTAGTCTAAGGGATAAATGCAAGAAATAAAAGTATGTTGCTATTTTTTTGCAGTCTATTTTAATAATTTGTAATGTGTCAACCTTTGATTTGAACTTCCTTGCAGCATCTTGAAATGGCTCTAGTAATTTCTTGAATTCATCAGCTTCTGCAAAGACATAAACCTGGAAAATATAATTTTAAGCCCAATTTTGAATAATCAGTTTCAAAACATTCAAAAATGTCAAAAGAACACAAAAAAGTTTATAACCTGTAGTTTATCGCTGGAGTAAACTTTGACAGAATTTAATTCTGATAAAAATGTGACCAATGGGAACTTATTATCATTCAAAAATTGCAGAATCTTGTCCTTCTTGAAATCACCTTCTGCAATATGAAGTGTATATAAATGGTGTTTTTATAAAATATAAACAAAAGAAACATACATCGCGTTTATAAAATCTTTAGCTTACCATATGAAGTGTATCTTTCTGGTTCACTTTTAACAATTCCGAGAAACAGATTATCAGATTTAAGATCTGGATATAAAATATTGGCAATTTGGTGGCTGTTTGTCTCGACAAATTGTATATCGTTATCAGTAGTTGCCGCTTTTACAAATTCATCATGATCTGATCCCTGGAAATTTAGTAAACAAGAAGACATGATCGATTTGTGTTTCGTTTCTGAGTGATTAAGAAACAAGAACACGAAAACACATACCTCGAATTTATTGAATAAAGCAGCTGCAAATATTGAATGTTTCTTAACAAATTCGTTTGCTTCATCGATGGAGTTGATTCTGATAATGGGCGTACCCGTCTTCTTCCTAACCCAGATCACAATTTCTTCCCTAATTCACAACAAAATTTCTTAATTACAGTCAACGGGTACCAAAATATCGTAAAAAAAACCGAGAATTCAGAAGAAATCTTACGTGGAAAATCCACCAGTGTAAGGTTGAGAGGTGCCATTGACGAAGAGAAGCAAAGTCGGATACCCTTTGATCTCAAGATTCGAAGCTACTTTCGGGTACCTCTCAGCATCAATTTTCGCCATTAAAACAGGGCTCTTTAATTCATTTAAAGAACTAGCAGCTTCCGCAAACCTAGGCATGAGTTCAGCACTTCTTACACACCATGGAGCATAACCCAGAACCAAAACGTACTCATTTCCATCAATAGCCCTTTGAGTATTATCATTATTGAGTTCAAGAACTATTCGTTGGGCCTTAGTCAACACCTCCGCCTCAGATGACGGTTTAGGGTGATGGGTTCCACCGCCGCTTTCTTCTTCTGCTTCGTCTAATGCTATAAGTTCCTCAATGTCATCAGATTCTTCACTGGCAGACACACTAATAAAAAAACTGAATGAAAGAAGAAGAAGTATTGCAAGATATATGAATCTAGAAGGGGGTTTTGGAGCAGACATGATCGAGATTTGTGGGGTTGGGAGAATTTGCAAAGAGAAGCAATGTGAATTGTGATTGAGATCTGTATTGATCTATAACTGGGTCGATCAAGAATCAAGATTTTGTATTGAGGTTTAGTAAGGGTTCTTTGTAGGGAGAGATTTGTTTGTACTTGTAAGATCCTGTGTGAAACTGAAACAAAAGAGTGATATAACTCAAAAAAGACGACGGAGTGGGAAGCAACACTGCTTTTAATCTTTTATCTTCCCGTCGACGTGCAGTGACTAACGGGATTCAGGTTTGGACTGTTCCTTTTTTTTTTTTTTTTTTTTTTTTTTTTTGCTGTGTTAAGCTATTAAAAGCGAGGTGAGCAGGCTAAAAAGAGTGGTAATACTCTTTTAACACTTTGTCATATTTTTTAGCGGGACATCACTTTTTCCTATGATTAACATAATATTTTAACATTTGGTGGTGGTAATACTCTTTTAACACTTTGTCATATTTTTTAGCGGGACATCACTTTTTCCTATGATTAACATAATATTTTAACATTTGGTGGAGAGTGGTAACATTCCTAACACTTCATTTTTTTTATTTTCTTTTTCTAATTTACTTTAATTATTTTATTTTAATAAACAAACATTTTTTTAATATTACACAAACATTTTTTTGATTTAAATAATATGACATAATATTACACAAACATTTATTTGACATTTTAACAAGTTCTTAATGTTTTAATTTTTTACAACAAAAACATATATTTTATTTATATATTTCAAACAAAAAGTGAACTACTAAGAAAATATAAGGGTTTGATTTAGAAACTTCCATCGAAAAGTAAACTATTAAGAAAAGATAAAGGTGTGATTTTGAAACTTCCATCCAAATGGAATAAAAAAAAATTTAAATAACTCACACCTGATTGGTTATGATTTTAAAGAAAAGCCAATAGCCAATAAGATTCAATCAATGTTCTCTCTCTCCTCTCTCGTTATGCCATTGACGACCTTAAAGGTAGCGAGCCCCCTAGCGAGAGCTAGGGGGTGTTCTTTCTTCTTAGCGAGTGCTAACGAGCTCCTTAGCACTTCTATTCCTATCAGCCTTAGAAGTGAGGGAGGGTTAAAAACTAGGTAAGTAAACGGGGGCAAACACAATGGGGAAATTTCTCCATTCCCCCGCCTTCGTCCCCATCTCCGAAATTTCCAACTTTGTTAGGGTGCAAAGTTCTCATTGGATGTGGCTTACCCTCTTGTATGTGTAAATGAGTTGAGTCTTTCCTATAAATAGGAAGTGAGTGACTCCCATTATGTAAGATCTTGTTTTGGAGAGCATTATTTTAGAGAGAGAATTTAGCAAACCCATGTGTACTCTTTCTGATTTAACTAATGAGAGCTTAAAAGAATTATTTACTCATTGTGTTCTTGAGTTTGTATGATGATTCACTAGATCTTTTCTTATTCCGCACATGCCATCATAATCAACACCACTACAATTGGTATCAGAGCGGGTGTTCTTGATTTGATCAAGAATTGATCAATGGTGGCAATCTAGATTTGGTGATTCTTCATGATTTTTTGATCTTCGTGTTTTAGAGAGTTTGGATTCTAGAAATCGAATTCATCTTTGATTCTATTCTTAATTCGATTTTCTTCACTAGAATTCAAGTGATTTTTGCTTTCTCTCTCTAGAAAACCCATTCAAATCATTTTCTCTCTCTAGAAAAACTCAAGATCTTATCAAATTTATCAAAGATGGTGGAAATGGTGTACTTGGATTATGATTCTTAGATTGTGATCGTTAAAGATGTCAAATACAAAGTCGGTTTCGAACAATTCATTGGATTAATATTGAAAGGCGGGATGATTTCATGGGATACTTTGATTTCTTATGGAGGTTTAAAGGTTGATCATGGAGGATTGATTTTTCAACCACTTTCAAAGATTGAATGCTTGATTAAAGCTTGCAATAACTTGATGACTGAGACATATATAAAGAAAGGAAAGGAAAAAGATGTGTTTGATAAGTATTTCATTTCTCTTATTGAAAACCCGAATGATCTTCTTTGTCACACCCCCAAACCGGAACGGCGGAAACGTTCGGGGGCGGAGGACGTCATGTACAGTATCACAACAATTGAATAATAGTAATCAAAGCAACAACAACCATTGCATTAATAGTATAATGTTTACATTGTTTTCGAATCATATACGATTGACTCCAAAAGTAAAAGACAAGTAAAGACTCGAATCTACTATGCTCCATCTTCTTGATTCCAGTGCGTGTACCTGTCTACTAGTGTCCTGAGAATACAAGTAGGTTTTGAAAGAGTATCAACATTAAGCTGGTGAGTTCATAAGCGTTTTGTTTTAGAAAACAGGTTCTTTGTTCTTTGAAAATCATGCTATGTTTCTCCAGAAAACCCTATATTTTCTGTTGTGATGAATGATAAGTAAACTGATTCGTCCCAGTTCCTCCGTTGAGTACTTAGTGTATACAAGTCATATATAATCCAGATCGAACAAACAATCGATTGTGTGGTTCTGCCCCAAGCCCACAACCAAACAAGGAACAGGAAATGAGGCGGAGGCTACACATCCCACTGGTTGTCGGATCCTCATGTATATAACCCTATCGTATTCACTAAGTACTTACAAAGTTAACTGTATTGGTCCTTTGAAATCTATTGATAACGTTCCTCAAGAAAATCCAATATTTTCTTAGTAAAAGCATGATTAAACCCATTTCTTTTATAACTACTTAGTTCATACTAGTTATGTATAAACCAATATCGAACAGACAGTTAATTGTGTGGATCTGCCATAAACCCACAACCAAATAAGGAACAAGGAATGAGGCGGAAACCACACATTCCATAATCTATCGGATATTCTTCATACGTAACCTGGATGCATAAACAAGGAATTATAGAATTAATAATGAATATTCGTTAGTTGAATCATAAACCAATTGTTTATAAAGTACTAATGTTTATCCTAAGTGTAAGTTATTGAATTATCTGTTCCAAAACCGAAGAGTACAAGTATCTACCATACTTATGTTGTTTAAGCATTGTTCTGTTTGAAAACCCTGGCTACCGCCAGTAATGTATAGTACGTTCTGTATGTAAACCTTTGTATGAAAACCCTGGCTACCACCAGTATGTATAGTATGTTCTGTAAACTGGATGTGTTGTTAATACCCTCCTGTGATCACTTAGTACATACGAGTTATAGAAATCTAGATCGAACAGACAGTCGATTGGGTGATTCTGCCCTAAGACCACAACCAAACAAGGAACAGGAAATGAGGCGGAAGTCACACATCCCACTGCATGTCAGATGTTAATTTCATATTACCCTAGTGTGCATACTAAGTCATCACATAGTTACTAACCCTGATGAATGTTTGTTAGGTATATTATTACGTGAACGAGTCGTTGTTTTCCGTGTGAGCTCTTATAACCATGCTAATGGAAGATAAACACTACGACGTACTTCGGACATCGTAAACTGAAATGACGTTTGTCACCCCCGGTTGACTATAGCTAATAGTCAGGGTGCGGGATTGTCACTCCCGTATAGATCTATACACAAACTCACGCTCTCCCTCTAGGAGACTCTGGTTACAAGGGGTAGACTTCCCAGAAGACGTGTCTCACGATTTGGTTCGCTCAACGAATTCACGAATAATATTATGAAAACCCCGTTTTTTTATTAACATGTATTCTTATGAAAATAGTACCTCTATTCATGGTTCCTATTTAGTAAGTTTTGTGTTCAAACGTGTGCTAAAGATAAGGAAATATAATAATTAAATTATATTTTTAAACACCGATTACTTGTGCTTTTACTTGTATCCCCCCCTTTAAAACATTAAAAACCTTGAAAAATGTGGGGGTGTGAACTCACCGTTGTTTATGTGCACGTGCTTGACAACAAGACGGGAAGGATGATCATCAAGTTGTTGTACGCGAAGTTTAACGGAATCCTAATAATAATTAAACACATATTTGTATTTAAATTAGTGAATCCATTAGTTAGAGTGTTAGAAAAACACTTGTTTTTGGTTGAGAAATGTTACCGAGACTCGATCAAAGTGGGAAAAGTGGGTTTGCAGCCAAGGTTCACGATGTGGGCTTATTGCGGCCGTGTAGAGTTTACGGCCGTGAACTTTTCTCTGCCGTGAACAGTTTACTGCCTTTGAAGGGTTTACGGCCTTTGAAGGTTTAAAGGGTTCACGACATGTTCTTGAAGATTTGAAGGGTTCACGGCCGTGAAATCAAGAACATAAATGTTTGACTCGATGAAAAACAGATGTTTTGATACTCCAAAACGAGTTCCAAGACGGATAGAGTGGTAGATGAAGAGAAATTTTGTGTTTTCGGGTGAAGATTTTTAGAGAGAGAAAGGGTGTCCGCGGCCAGGAAAGTGTAAATGAGGTGTAGGAGCTCGTATATATAGGAGGGGTTCATGGTTGGTGGTGGGGTCCACCTGTCAGACCGGGTTCACGGCCGTGATCGGTTTATGGCCGTGATCGGGTTCACGGCCGTGAACACCAGTCAGACCGGATTTTGCTGATTTTCGAAAGAAAACTCGTGTTTTCGCGGATTTTGGTTCCAACTCTTATATAAAATCTATTTATATAAATTAATGATTTTCCAAGCTATAAGAATTTTGACGGAACAAAATGAAATTGTGACAACCGTCAATTTCTGGTTAAATCAAAGTCAACAAGTCAAACCGGTAAACTCAGTTAGTGCTTGTATGTCAGGACTTACTCTATGTTTACTAATATACAACTCTCTATCTTAATATGAAGTATCACTTAGAGGTTTCCAATGTTCAGAAAATATAAATCCTAAGAGGAGTAAGTGATGTAATAACTCGATAAAACACTTTTAAGTACCCTTCGGGGGCGTCTAACACTCATAACGAGGCATAACGGGGTTTTCAAACCTTGCATTACGAGGCTAAACACTAACAAAGGTCACAAATGGAATCTATCTCTCAATCTATCTCGTCCTATCTCTCTCTTTCTCTCCCAAATCTCTCTCAGAGACATCAACCCATCTCTTCCTTTGTCGAAAAAGGCTCAAAACAGATGGAGAAAACCCAAAAGAACAAGCTCATTTCGGAATACACTATTTATTTTCGGAGCCTCTCCTCTTGGTCCAGGAACACTCCTGATCCTGAACATTCCTAGACTTCGGAACTTCTGACTCCGGAATG